AGTGTTGTTAGGGGATGGGAGGCCTCCAAGAGGAAATACCTCAGCCTGCTCCAAATGAAATTACATTTTTCCCTTTTTTTAAAAGCAGGTCTACATCTGACGGGGGCACCTTCAGTTGACTTGTGTTGTTAGGTACACTGGTATTTTTAAAAATGTAGAGGGAGAAAATAACCCTGTATGTGTGGACCAAGACATCACACTTGATGTGGGTTGAAAGTAAGTGAAAGAGATGAACAGAAAAAGACGGTCAGTCAGAGAATAGTCTGTTATCAGAGCTGATCATGCTTCAGAGGAAGAACATCTTTGCCTTGTGCCTGAGCAGAAACTAGTAATGCATCTCTTCTGTTCGCGGTGTGACCTCTAATCTCCCTCAGTGAAACACTCCTCTACCACTCCTAAAAGTTTTTTTCTTGCCTATATCACAAAACATGCTGAGTGCTGACTGTTTTGCAAAGGCTGTTTCCTCCTTCAAGCCTCTTCCACAGGCTGTCATGTGGATTGCCTTGACTGTTGCAGTTATTCAGGCTTTGCGGTGATGTCAGGGTCCTTAGCACTGCATGCAAGGCTGGAGAAAATTCTCCAGTAATTACAGTCTTTGCTCGGTAGCAGGCTTCGGTACCAGTTGCCTCCTACTTCCTTTTTGGCCTGATGGATTGGGGTTTTTCCTCCCACTTGTCACTGACAGCTGACGATGCTCTCACAGTCCATCCCCTCTCCACAGTGGAACCAGCTAGCAGACCAGCAGGAAGAGGTACAATAACAGTGGCATGTGACTAATGGCTGTGGTGTAAACCAGAGTTAGACATGTCCAGGTTTGCTTTGTAGCTTAATTTTTACATGCCTTTTTGCTAATAACAGACTAAGAAGATAAAAATGTGATCAGAGTTTTGTCATGTGCAGTTTTCACAATTTGGAATTGCATCCAAAATGGAACTACCATTTTTAGTATATCTAGTCAATACGTAACTTAAAAAAATCTGAGGAACTACAAAAACAAGGAAGAAATGTTGTGAGCTGTTAAGTCAGCTACAGATAGTTCCTGAGATTTGTAAATCAAGCAGGTTGAGAACCACATGTCCTGTACTGACAACTGAAGCTTCAGATTAGAATCAAGACTTGGTTTATAGAAAGCATTTAGCAAGACAGTTGGGCAAGTGATCCACAGGATTAAATCTTTTGTTTTTAGATGAAGTGTTTTCATAAGTCCTTGGTGTCAGATGCTGTTTTCTTCCTGTTTCACCATCATCATTTGACAAACAGTTCTGTGGTTTCATGTGGTCATCATTCTATCCCAGTCTGTTTTTTCTTAAGTACATGATGATGCCCATGATGGCATTTGCATCACCCACTCAAGCTCATTGTTTGTTGTAGCATGTTAGTGTTTGCATCTGTGCAGCCAGCTTTGTTGTTGTCATTGGCTGAAACACAATTGGCTTTTGTGTTTATGGGTCCCTCATCTGTCTAAGTTGATATGCTGGGCACAAACCCCCTCTAAAGTAAATTCTTCCATCCAGAGCCACTCAGGAGAATAATTCACTAAACAGCATACGATTTTGTGGCTGGCATAGTCTAGGGAGGCAACAAAAGTCTTGGGGTCAGTCCCAAAGCAGGCCATTGGCCAGACAGCAAGGCGGCATTTGGCAGGATGGCCTGGGTTTGAGGCATCCGTCTTCTCTGCCTGATCGGTGAAATAGCCAGGTTTTAATGATGGACCAATTACCAGCCAGTGTCAGTGAATGACAGGAAGGACTCTCAGGAATTCAGTACGAGGATTAGACTAATGTACGCTAGTGTTGGGCATTATGACCAAAAGTTTGTATCGCTGTACTTTATAAAGATTCCCCAGGTTTCACAGTATATTGCCTGTATTACATGACTGGGCCTTTTATATAATTTCGTGACTTATTCAACTGCCAGGAGTTGTCTAGTTAGAATACAAAAACAAGACATATTAGCACCTAACTCAAACATTAATGAAAGCACCGTCCATTTTTGAAAAGTTTTAAATAATTATTGTTTTAGGCTATTAATAACTTGTTTAATTAATACAGATATTTATATTTACATGTGGCATGTTGAAACCTGTGTTGCATTGTAGCCTCCTCCAGTCATTCAGGTGGGCTGCATTCAGCACGCTGGTCCCACTGTCAGTGGTTAGCATAGGTATACAGTGTATGTATTTAGGAGTTAGGACCAAGTGCCTCACCTCTTAAGCCTTGTAGAGTTATTTCTCTGGTGTGGTCATTCAGAAAATATGTTACACAGCTCCAGTCATCGCACCATTACGCACCATTATGCTGAGGTACGGCTCCATTGTGCGACTTGACCACAGGTCTGTTGTAATTATGTGAGCAAGTGTATGTAGCTCTGCTTCCAGTGCGCTTTGGTGTTGTTGGCATAGTGGTTAGCTGTTTACTAGTGCCGCCAACAGCCACAGATAGACTACAGACACAGCTCCTCTCTAGTCTCACTTTTCTTTGTCCCCTCTCTTTTCTGTTTTTTAACGCGCCGTAGTGACTGAGCCTCTCCCAGCTGTTAGCAGGCCGTCATGCTGCCTGGCTGGCTAGCAAGCTGTACCCAGCATGCTGTTTGGCTGTGTACTTTTGTAAATATACAATTATTAACATTATGAATTGTTTGCGTCACAAGTGATAAATGTGTTGTAGACAGTAACAAGATGGTTATAGTTGGGACACTCTGGAAATGGGCAGATTATTTTCCCCATTTGTGGTTCTCTCACATTGGAATTGGCTTGTAACCAGTACATCTCACCTGTGAATGTTTGAGCACCTACAAGTCAACATGACAACAGTGTGAGATGTAAATGGCTTCCTGTCTGCACTAGGTTTACGTTAACACAGTGAATGTTGTTGGTGGGATGTTAAGTGTAATGCTTTGTTCAGTTTTTTGTTATTCACTGAAGGTTTGCTGTTCTTTGTATCCTCCTGACTGCACATGCTTAAACAGCCTGCACTTAGCCTCTTGTCACGTTGCCCAAGTAAATGGACTTATGCTTTGTAATACTGTATCTTTTACCTGGTTCATGCAACTCCCACATCTTCTTGCCTTATGTTTGATCTTTACTATGTCTTCATCCTACGTCTTTGTGTCACAGCAGTATGTAACACTTGAGATTTGCACAAGATGACTCACAAGTAGCTTTTTTTGTCACGGCAGGGCCATAAAACAGACTCTGCATCACATAAGATTGTGTTTCAGTTTGCAGAAAGTCTTCAGAAGTGAGTGCATACTGCTGTTTTAAAAGTCTGTCACGATTCTGTTTTCTGCCTGAAGTTCACTCCCACCTCCCCAGGTCTCTGGATGGCTCTGCAGAGACCATCAAGCTAACCTTAGCACACAGAGCAGGAGAACGCAAATCGATGAACAGCATCCAGCAACTGAAAGAACTTCGGCTCTTGGCAGAATTTCTGTCTTCATGTTGTCTTTGCTGAGATGGCAGCAGGTCTGGGGATACAACTCCATTCATACCTGTAGGAAAATATCAGTGTCTTTTTCTTCAGTTTTATTAGTTTGACTAATTTAGATTTTTTTTATTCCTGCCATCAGACTTATTTCAAATTGTTATAAGTCAATTCCCTGACACCCCTTTGTTCCTTACTTTGTCTCATCAGCAACTTTTTAAAATTTTTCTGTGAATAATTCTAGTTCTTACCGTTTGTCTTTATATAGCTAACCTTGACCTTGGGACTTGGCAGTATAAGTGCTAATCAGAGAGTCTAGTGATTTTTTTTTGTTTGTTTGTTTTGCTTTGATGCTGCTGACCCAAAGATATTTTTGAAATGACACAGTGGAATGTGTTTTATTTTGTGTCATAAGCTGCATGTGGATCATCCTGCGGTGCTGCAGAATGCCATCATTCTCCCCTTCTAAGCCGATCATGTCTGGTGCAGTAGCTCTAACTCTTGTGACTACATACAAGCAAACACTGAGGACTTTCGGGTCCACTGTCTTATGTTTACTGTTGTGGACACCCCACAGGTTTAACCAACATTAGTTGTTCTTTTTAAATAAAGTGTTGGACTCCTCAGTGAAGGCCTTTGCACCCACTGGCCACTTTTAACCACCCTCTCTTTCTGCTCCTTACCAATCCAAATCCATGCTGGGCAACAATGACGCCTTTGTAGATCTTTTCTTTCTCCTCTCTGGTCGGTGGGCTTTGATGTCCACCACTCAGTGACTCGGTGAACCCTTCTGATGAGACACTGTCCCATCACAGTGCTATTTAAGCCGGGAGGTACACAGTGACAGCAGCTACTGGCACCTCAGCTGAAAACCTTTCTCTGTCAACACAGCCTATTCCTGCACCAGAAATCCAACTAAAACTCCACTCGCCCATTTTAAATTCAGCTTCATATCTCCATCTTGTAACACCTTGTTGTATTTTGCACAGCAAATAGCTTAATTAACTCCAGGATTAGACCCAGTTGGCTTGAGGCCAATGCAAACTAAATGAGCTTAGCCTACTTACTCATGAAATGAGACCAGTTAGCTGCTGTTACAATATTAGCTTTTGGAGACCTTTTTTAGAAGTCGTTGATTACACATAGTCTGAGTGACACAAATTTTTCTACATCAGTTTTTAAGAGAAGCATGTAGGGTTGTTTTCAGCACCGCATTCGGTTTCCTCTGTTGCTCAATGAGCAGCTCAACTGGACCACTTAGGAATGAAATGTGTTCATCGGCAGCTCAGCAGAACTCTCTGTGGGTGGGTAAATGAGTTGACTGGTGCTAAAACGGTTTGTAATGGAAGATTAGACTAATGAAGTTACATATAAGCTAACCTTGAAATACCTTGCAAGGCAAAGAGATGGGTCTCATTTGAGTGTTTCTGAATTTCCTCTTCACTGTCATAGGTTTTCCCCACGTAGGATTCCACTTTGTGAACCTTCATAACCATATGCCACACAATATTGCTTCATGTGGTGAAGGATGTAAAGAATGCTGCTGTAACGCTTTCTTGTTGTTTTGTATTTTTCTAGGAGGCTTCTCAGTGGTGTTTCTGGCTCGTACACACAGCGGCGTCCGCTGCGCTCTCAAAAGGATGTATGTCAACAACGTCCCCGACCTGAATGTCTACAAGAGAGAGATCACTATTATGGTGAGAGCAGCATCTCAGTGTTTGGTTGCTATAGTTAGATGTTACTCTTGTCTCACGTGAAGTCCTCCTGCTTGTCTTCATTGCAAGAGCTTTGCTTTAAATATGTTTGTTGTACACTAGTTTTGATTTACATTTAATTATGAAACAAGGAAGTTATGATATATTATTATCTGGACTTAAACATCATATTCCATATTCTGGTGTTCAGTTGCACTCCCAGTTTTAGTTGCATTTCCTTTTGATCCTTTTCTTGTTGAAAACTGATTCCTCTCACTATTTATTCACTGAAGGTTTAGTTTGCACTTGAAGACACTGTGATAATTACCTGACGTTTTCATGGTGGCATTCTCAGTTTTCAGGTATTTAATTTAAGCCTATTAGTCCTTTTTCAAATGGGACACAAGGCCTCAAAGATTCATGTAAGTTGCATATAAATGGCTTTATTCCACCTTCCTAACCCGTCCTGTCTTCCAGCATTTCCAGTTTGGCAGGAGCGAAAGGCTTTTGCCTGCGTGCTGGGCGACATTGTATTAATGCACCTGGTTCAGTGACAAGAACGTTTGATCTGTTACAGAGAGCTAACACTTACATGATCACAGTTAAGGGGTTTTATGTCATCCGAAGTTAAATATTCCCATTTATTCTGTAATCTAGCAGGCATGTACACCTTGGACAACAGCAGATGTCTCATCTTGAACATTTGACCCCAATGTGTCAGTGAACAGCTCATTCTGAGCTGTTTGGCCCACTTTGTGTGTGTGTGTGTGT